AAAAAAAAAAAAAAAAAAAAAAAAAAAAAAAAAAAAAAAAAAAAAAAACCAACTCATATACAGTCCAAGATAACAAAAATATATAATCCAAACATAGTCCAACAAATCAAAATAAACAATCAAAAAAATAGTCCCACATAAAAAAAATACACAATAACAAATCTAGTTTCCCCACTCATCATGGCGTCTAGATCTATCAGTGCGAGGATGTGAGGACGGACAATCATCCACAAAATGCTCTGTATCACCACATCTACTACACTGTCCTCTATCATTCCCGCGGAATGCCCGACGATCCATTTGCATGCGATGACGCCTCGTTTGCGCGCGACTGGGTCCAGCCTTCGTGATCATCCTCTCCCAATGTGGTAGTAAGGTCCATCCGACCAGCGGCCATGTGTCTGGATCACCAATCGGAACAAAACTCCAATTAGAAAATTGAGCTACCCAGTTCTCCGTCCAAAAGCAGGGATCGTACAATAACTTCGGTGGAGTATTAAGTTGGCGACACACAACTATAGCATGAGAGCATGGTTTCCTATGTGTCTGCCACTTCAGACAACGACAACGCCTCTCGTCGTACCAAACCTTACACCTGTTTTTCCACACATTTAATTATATTTATAAACAACTAAAAATTTTAATGAACCAAAATAAAAAAATAAAAATTATACAATAAATAAATAAACCACATACGTTTTGTCCCCTCTACTACTCGTCCGTAGACCCGTTGTCACCTCGTACAGAGATCTCGCCGCGTTCGCACATCTCACCTTATGATTTGTGGTCGTACTCTCCAATTCGCAAAAAGCGGCATAGTGGGCACTAGCAATGGCATTACTGCATCTCGTGGACTTCTTTTGTTCCTGCTCAAACAAGTCCAGAGTTTTCATGAATGTGGCGCGTACCAAAGCTCGGCAGGGCAAGAACCTAACACCTTTCAGGATGTTGTTGTAACTCTCGGACATATTGGTCGTCAATGTACCCCATCTACATCCTCCCTCGTCTCCAAGCGGAGTCCACTTGTTCAGAGGAATTCCAAACAGGTAATTGTATGCATCCGGATTAAAATCCGAAAGCCGCTCTCGTATATGTTGAAATTTTCGCTCTGAAAGCTGTGAACCCAACTCCCAACACCAATTTTGGATTTTGCTATTCCTGTACCTAGTAACCACGTTGCTCCGAAGGTGTCGAAGACAAATCCGGTGATATGCAGCGGGTTCTTGCCAAGTCGCCAATGAATCCACAGCACTCTGTAAGCCAGCATCACTGTCCGAAAGAAAGCATATCTGTCTGTCGCCGACAACATGTTGCTGGAGATTTGTCAAAAAAAATGACCAGCTTTCCCTGCTCTCTTCATCCACAATCGCATACGCGATTGGCAATAACCGCTTATTCGCAGTCTGTGCAACGGCCACAAGCAACTTCCCCTTGTACGAGCCACGCAAATGCGTGCCGTCCATGCTAATTACCGGCGGACATCTCTGGAAGATCTGAATGGCGGGACCAAAAGCCCAAAAAATAAATTTGAATTCTCTGTGCTCATAGTGGGCCGCCATTTCCCCACCCTGCCATTTCCACTGTACAACTGTAGTGGGATTCGCTCTTTGAAGCGCCGCAAAAAATCTGCACATTATAAAACGTAATCGTTAATACATAACATAGTGAGAAAAATAATACGTACACTTTTAATAAATTTTTTCTTACTGAGGGAGTTGTGCGAAGTTCTCTTCCCAAGTGCCATACAAACTGTCGATGGCTTTTTTCCTCCCGTGCCACGCCTTCTTATAGCTCACATCGACTTTCCAACATTTTTTGACATCCTCCTGGATCAGGGTAACACTGTACTTGGGTTTCTTTTGGATCTTGGTCATGATAAGATTGGAAATCATTGTGGCGGTTACATTTCTGTGGTCATTTTTGTCGGCTTCTTGCATACAACTATGCCTCTCGGTCCATTCCGTTACTTCCCACAGATCATGAACCCGTGTGCAGTGCGTCACCCGAGCCTTCCAGGAACAAGGTTGAGCTTCGGCGGATTTGCACACCACCTTGAATGATTTCTTATTCGAATCTTTTGTCCTAACCTCCCTCAATCTACTAACGTTCCAATTCATTATACCAATCTGTGCTTCTTCCTTGGACCGAAAAACAGTACCCAAACGGATAGTCTCGACATTTCCATTCCAACGAGGAAGAGCATACTCATCCCGGTCTACACACGAGGGGTCCCACTCACCCATCTCGCGATACACGTGCTGATCGGTACTAGGAAATGGGTGCTTCAATAAACTCTGGTTCACTCTCCTCGTTTATTGATCTATCCGATTCCGTTTCCGATGTATCATCTGTCAAATCGTCTTCATCAGGAATGAAATCATCATCGAGTTCTTCTCTAACTGTTGAGCTTGTCCCTTCGCCAAAATTACGAACATGCGAAGTGGACGTACCCTCAAAATCAGGCACTCCCCCGTAAAAATGGGAAACATCCTCAAACTGTGTAATCACTGTAGGTGCATGCGTAACCTGCTTCAACTCTAAATGCAAATACACATAGGAGAAAGCAGGAAAATAATATATCCACTGTAAAGCACTATCAGTATTCAAGTTTCCAATGTTCCACGAACCATCGGGTCGGTTAGTAAGTAAACTAATCCCCTCAATCATCCAACCATCTCGACAGAACCCAAAATTTTCATAAAGTATATCTTTAAGTTTTTGAAATGATATCTTCTCCCCAATGCTAAATGAACCATCCAGACGGTTTATAAAATCTGAAAATGAATCTAAAACCTCTTTGGGATGATTCCAATACACGTTAACAAAATATGGCCCGGTAGACTCCATTTACACCTGTTAAAAATAAAATCACGAATTCTTTTAACAAACCCTAATACTCATTATCCATCAATAACATATAATACACTTTCAACTAAAAAAACCAAAAAAAAAAAAATCTAATCAATTAATCATTCAAACCCTAATACCTTATCGAACAATAACATAGAAATCATCTATAATTCCGATAAATTGAAACCCTAATTTCGAAAAACCCTAACCCCAACAACAACCAAACAATTACACAATTGACAATTTAAGAAAGTCGAAGAAAATAAGGGTAAATAGGGGCAAATACAAAAATGTAAGCAACGTCTCCGGAAAGACTTGTTTTCGAACACGACACCATTATTTGATGTGGATAACATATATTTATCGAGCCATCGTGTTTTGAAGCAAAATGATACACGTTTAAGAAAGACGAGGAAAATAAAGGTAAATAGGGGCAAGTACGAAAATGTTTACACATAATATTTCAATCTCCAATTCAACATACACACATAATCGTTAATCAATTATCAATTTCAATATTCAAGCACCAACACATTCAAACATATTATAACAATTCTCAATCTCCAAA